GGGGTCCCCCTAAATCATAATTCAAATAATATTGGAGAACTAAGTATCATGATCATTCTCGTTGACGAGATCTGGAGTCTCTTCGGCGTCGACATCGTAGGCATCCTCCGGCTCTTAAACCCTAAACCCCTAAACCCCTAAATCCCTAAACTTCTAAACCCTAAACCCCTAAACCCTAAACCCCTAAACCCCTACACCCCTACACCCTAAACCCCTAAACCCCTAAACCCTGAACCCCTAAATTCCTACACTCCTAAATCAATGAATACACTCCCAAACCCCTAAACCCCCCAAAACCCCCAAAACCCCCAAAGCCCTAAGCATCCTCCGACTCCTCCGGCTCGGAGCCAGTGATGGGCATGGGCTCGTCCTTCAGCGTCTTCTCAAGCTCCTTTCTTTGGGGGTCTTAAGGCTTAGGACTTAAGAGTTAAGGCTTAGATCTTCGAGTTTAGGGTTTGGGGGTTTAGGGGTTTCGGGGTGTGGGGATTAAGATTTAGGGGCTTAGATCTTAGAGTTTAGGGTTTGGGGTTGTAGGGTTTAGGCTTTAGGCTTTAGGGGTTTGGGGGGTTTCGGGTTTAGGGTTTGAAAGTTTGGGGTAGCCTAAACCCTAAACCCTAAACCCTAAACCCTGGGGTTTGGGGCTTTAGGCTTTAGGGATCATGGCCTTGGGGCTTGAGGGTCTAGGCCAGGGGGCTTGGTGATTGGAACCGGCTGGGGGTTTTAAGGTTTAGGGTTTCGGGTTTTAAGGTTTAGGGTTTTAGGGTTTTGAGGTTTAGGGTTTAGGGTTTAGGATCCAAGTATAAGAAGGAACCCGTAGGAAGAATATATTTGGCGAGTATTCAGGCTTCTGTGTTGGGCTCCTTGCGCTCGGCATCACTGACCTTGCTGCCCTCCTTGTCCTGCTTCTGGATCTGCGCGGCCTCTTCCTTGTTCTCCTTGTCATAGTCCTTCTCGGGGCTTGCGAATCTGGGGCTTAAGCTTTTGGGGCTGGGGTTTTAGGTTTCAGGGGTGTCCTTCGCGGTCATCTGATCCTTGATCTCGGCCTCTTTAAAGTCTTCCTCCCTTAGTTCTTGTTGAGGAACTCTCTGTGTTTAAGTCGCCACCATGAGGAAAACCCTCTTGCTTACTACACATCCCTGCTTGGGCAACTTGCATTCAACCATAAACCCGACCCCGTGACCCCAAACTGCCCAAAGCCCCAAAACGCAGATCCTAAACCCCAAGACTCAAACTAAATTCCACAACAAAATCCCATTCCCGTCAGAAGTTAAGCAAAGGATACATATATCCTTTTGAATATGTACAACATAAGCGTAATTGTAAACCTAAATGAGAACAAAATATACGTAAAACAAAAACGAGCATTGACACATGTATGCATAGATCATGGAGATCGCTTGAACAGAAACCATCTGCAAAAAAGGAACAAGCTAAAAACTAACCCTAAACCCGAAACCTCTACACCCTAAACCCCAAGACTCAAGCTAAATTGTACATCCTAACTAAAACCTATATAACCCTAAACCCTAGACCGTTAAATTAGCCTTTAAAGCTTAACGAAGAGCCTAGATTCTTGTCGCTGATCTCATCCGCATCCTCGGCCTCGTTCTGCGCCTTGACCCGAGAGCCTATCTTCCTGCAAAAGGGACTCCTTTTAATTTCAGGACTCCAGCAAAGGGACTAGTGCTAAGAGTTCCTGTAGGGGTTCCGTTTAGTTGGACTCCTTTAAAGGGTTTATGTAGGCTCGAAAAAGCCCCTAAACCACTAAGCCACTAAACCACTAAACCCTAAACCCTAAACCCCAAACCCTAAACCCTAAACCCCTAAACCCGAAGCTCCAAAGGCTCTAGGGTTCTGTTTGAGTTCCCTTATGGGTTTTGCGATGTCGGGGCCTTTTTGGGGGTTCGCCTTTGGAGACTTCTATGACTCCTTGAAGGGATCCCAAGACCCCAAAGAACCTACCTTTTTAACTAGGTTCCCCAGTAACCCCTTAATGATAAGGGGCACCCTTTTTCGTAATATTCGGCTTTAATAAGGGGACCCCAAACTAAAAAGGGCAAAAGGGCACTACTGGGGCACCTAGTTAAGGATTTGTATCAGGAAATCATAATAAGGAGCCCTAGAAAGGGAGGTTCTTTGGGGTCCAGGTCTTCTATGAGCCTTTTCTCTTCCTTGGAGGGCTCTGCTAGGGCTTAGGGTTGAGGGTTTGGGGGCTAGGGTGGTTTAGGGACTTAGGGTTTAGGCTTTTAGGGATGATAAGGATTTGGCGTCTTAGGATTTAGGGTTGAGGGCTGTTTAGGGCTTCGGGTTTAGAAGGTTTAGGGTTTAGGGTTTAGGTTTTTTTGGCCGGGGATGTACTCCAAGCTAGGTTGGCCTGTCAACTCCTCTGAAAAAATGCTCGTACATTGGATCCTCTTGAGCCCAACAAAGGAAAATATAAACTATCCCAAAGGCCTAAGGCTGATGATATAAATCCTGCATTGCCCATAATAAGGAATAATACCATAATGCCCATAGTTTAGGATCATCAAAGGTAATGCAGGATGTATATCATCAACAGTGCGAAGTGACAAACATCCATAAGAAAGAAACAATGCTCCTCCTTTCCACTAGAACGCAGGGAGGAAAGAGCGTGCGCAGCCTTCTAAACTCAAAAGAAATCCTCAAGCCTAAACCCGAAACCGTTTTGAAGAAATCCTCAACCCTCAACCCGAAACGGCTCCAAACCCAAAACCCGACACCCGACGGCCTACAGCCCTAACCCACAGAGCCTGCTGGGCCTTGGCCAGAGCCACCGTGTTCTTGCCGTTCGGCTGCACCGTGTCGGAGATCACCAAGCCGGATCCCAGAGTGAAGAGGCACATGAGGGCCACGAAGAACCGGAACCTGACGAGGGTTTGGGGATTTTGTGGGAGTTTGGGGTTTCGGGTTTAGGGATTTAGGGAGGTTAAGGGTTTGAGGCTGAGGCGTTCGGGTTCAGGGCTTAGCGGTTAGGGTGGACTCTCCACATCAAGGTGGCGGGTCCTTATCTCCAGCATCCTCCTGTCCTACTATATACCTACTTGGAGTCCTCATATTCAGGATCCTGCTTCTATTCCCTATAAACCCTAAAACCCTAAACTTAAGCCCTTAACCCCTTCTTTTCCGAAGCTCCCACATGCCGTCGACGGGTTTCACGTCAGAGGCGAACTTCGTTGAAGTCTCCTGGCTAAGCGTAGCCTGCACCAAAGCTTGGGCCGACGCGACGGCGGAAAAGCAGGGCTGAGGATTTTGCGGGTCCTCAGGTTCTGGATTTTAGGGTTTAAGTGGGGTACCCTCAACGCCCAGAACCCCCCAAACCCTAAACTTAAACCCCCCAACCTACCCGAAACCCCATAACCCAGAACCTTCGACCCCAAACCCCTAAACATATATATATGTATGTATGTATGTATGTATGTATGTATGTATGTTTGTATGTTTGTGTGTGTGAATATATGTGTATTTATATGGATATATATATATGTATGTATACATATATATGCTACCCCCCCCTCTAAGACCCCACGTTCAGCAGAAACACAGCATCATACATGGCAGCGATTGCAAATGCACAATCTTGAAACTCAATATTTCTTCTTCGCCACAACAGATACCTGATCGTGTCTTCCTCTTAGAGGACTGAATATGCTGC